GTAAGAGAACAGCTAGATGTGTTAATTACAGAGCTTTAGAAGTTCTGGGCCATGGTCAGACAATCACTGCAGAAATAACTGTGACATCCAAAAACATACTGCAATTCAAGCTGAGGTTGTTGCTCAAACAGGTCAGCAGATGGAAAGGATTGGTGTAGATCCTATTTCTAATACAGGCAAAGTGAGCAAGAAAAAGATTTATTGTTGTTTTCTAAACGGAGAAGGTCAGCAAACCATGAAAATACCCAAACAGATTTGGTATGGGTAATAACATCTCTGCTCAGCTAACAAAAAAGCAAAACAAATAAACTGGAGCTGATGGAAAATAATCTGCCTGGCCTGTGTCATTTAGGCTTTTCTGTAGGCTGAGTCTGTGTTTGGGTCACAGATTTTGAACAGAAGAGGATAAACAGCAACAGCAGCACATCAGACTTGACTGTAACAGCACTCTCTTAAGTATACCTATAGACAGACGCTCAAGATTTATGACACATGGGATTCAGCAGCAGTGAGAATCTGCTTTGACTTTTGTCATTGAGCCATAGAGACATTAGCAGCGACATCCCATGACAGTTTGGTCTGTAAAAGCACAATGGTGTACTAGTAGCATATGTATACGTTATATGTAGCTTAGGAGGTGCATGCAAATGTAGTGACCACCTATGTTAGCTTTTAGAACTTTGCAATACCATTGGCTGTATTGAATAACACACCTGAACCTTCAACATTCCCATATAATCAGAGCCATTTTGTTCATTTATTAGCAGTTATTTACCCAGTTTTATATATAATCTTTTTCTTCTATAGGCAAAGGTTTTTTTTGTTTTTTTTTTTTTTTTGGTGTGTGCAAAACACTGATCTAATTGAAAACTGATTGTGTTAAAAAGTGTGGGTGAACTTGCTTAAATAAATTCACTCTGTTTACCAACTGTGGAGTCTGCAGCTTTGCTCGCAGAGAACACCAGCTGATCTTGATGCTTGAGAGCACCCTGTTTTCAGGTCACTTAATGAGTATCACCATTCTACATGTCTGGCATTCTACAGAGAATGACTCGTAGGATAGCGTGCACTGCTACAGTAATCCAGGACCATATCCCAGTCTGCAGGTATCCCCATGTAACCTCTAACTGGCTCCATCTGGCTACTTTGCTTTCAGATTGGTAAAAAAAAAAAGACTGAACTGTCCCATATCAGTCAGCCTTTCCTAGCAGGAGAGATTCTTCAGTCCCTTAATCATCTTTGTGACCCTATGTTGTACTCTCTCCAGTAGCTCAATGTCTGTCCTGTACTGGGGAGCCCAGTCCTGGTCACAGCCTCATCTATGTGGCCTTAGCAGTGCTGGATAGATGGGATCAATCCCCTTGACCTGCTGGCAGTCGTTTGCTTAATGCAGCCCAGGATACCATTGGCCTTCTTTGCAGCAAGGGCATGTTGCTGGCTCATGTTCAACTTGATGTCTACCAGGACCTCCATGTCTCCCTGCCTGGCTGTGTTCCAGCTGGTCGGCTGCCAGCACATACTAGTGCCTGGGGCTGTTCCTCCCAGGGGGCAGGATGTTGCTCTTCTTATTTAACTTCATGAGGTTCCTATTGGCTCAGTATTGACCCCTGGGGTACCCTGCTAGTTACAACTGGACTAGTCCAACTGGACTTTGGGCCACTGATCACCACCCTCTGGGCCTGCTCATTCAGTCAGTTTTCAGTCCACCTCACTGTCTGCTCATCCAGTCCATACTTCACGGCCTTTCTGTGAGGTTCCTAAGGAAGACAGCATCAAAAGCTTTACTGACGTCCAGGTAGACAATATATACTGCTCTTCCCTCATCTACCAGGCCAGTCATTTCATCATAGAAACTTATCAAGCTGGTCAAGCATTCAATCAAGCATAACTTCCCCTCGGTACTCCTTATAATTTTATTTTCAGTACATTTAAAAGCTGTAACCTTCCTATTACTATAAAGTTATGTTTTTGTACTTAAAGTTCAGCTAAAAATGCTGAAAGAGCACAAATTGGGACCCAGCATTCATCTGACAAAAGACAGGTACAGTTGCTTTAACTGAAAAATCCACTTCACTTAAAAACATCTAGAATTATTATATGTGCCATCTTCAAATGGATCCTCTGTTAAACACTTTATAGATACTCACTGATTCATTCAGCCATACTTCATGTACTGGGCCTGAGTGAAACGTTTTAAAACTCCTGTTTTTGTGAGAGAAGGCACAAGGCACTACTGGCCTTGTCTGGGTCTGGGTTAGTTATGCCTCCCTAGTACCTGACAACTGGCACAAGACATTAGAGAATCAGAGGCATTAGAGAATCACAGGTAGCATTGAAAGGCAGCAGCACATTACAGCAGGTGACCTTTAATGGCATTACTGAGACCTAGGACCATTGTAACAGGATCACTGGGAACTAAATAAATATGCAGCCAAGTTTCAGGCTCTGAGCAGCTTTGTTGCATGGCTTCCATCTGTGTTTGTCCTTGAGTTTGGCTGAGAAAAAAAGCTCAGGTTTTACATTCTGGCATTCATCACCAAAAATATAGAATTGGAAGCTCTCAATGAGTCAGTCTTGAAAAGCTGAAAATCACGTGTTCCTGCCATATGCATTTGTCTCACAGAACATTTCAGGGTTTTCCTCCCTCCCTCCCTCCCTTCCTTCCTTCCTTCCTTCCTTCCTTCCTTCCTTCCTTCCTTCCTTCCTTCCTTCCTTTTCTGTGTGCCTGACATCATTTCTGAACATATCAGTAAAGGAAATTGCTGCACATTTAGAATAACAGCAGCTTTATATGCATGCTGTAGCACACACCCATCTGATTGCATCATCCTATTTATTTATTAGGAGAGAGGAAAGAATCCTTCTGGAATGCTGTTTTGAGATTCATTTCAGGACAATCTAGGACATTGGCACAACAAACTGCATAAATCAATATTGTGACAGTATTTTGTTTCCTTACACATTCCTTCAATTCATTGCTTCAATGTAGCTGTCTTAACATGCATTTGCTTCCTAGACCAGCAGTAAGCTTGATTTTGAAGCAGCAGCAAAAAGTATTGGGTAAAAAAGCACTGCCCCATGAAACATAATTGTTAGACCTTCACAACAGAAATTCCTTTTTTTTTCTTCCTACTAGCAGGGTGCATCCATATAAGAATGAGAAAGTTACTAAATGCTTTGAAGGCTATATCAATAGTGTATGGACAAATCCTGCACTGTATACCTGCTTACACTGGACCAGCCTGAGTAGAACTGCATTACATCAGAAAAAAAAAAAATACAGTTTGTAATCCCCCTTCTAGACAGAGTAGAGCAAGAAAATGTAGAGCATTATAAAAAGATTGCTAAATGGAACCAGCAACCTGTGTCATCTGAGGCTTGGTGATCACTACATGAGACCATAACAGGGTGGGTTAAACAACTTGCCAGTACTGAGCGATTCCAATGCTGCATGTTTCTGTGGTTGTCAGTTAAAGCAGTGCCTGCTATAATGTGATGTATTGTTAGCAAAATGCTTTAAATGCTACCCTAAAGGGAGGGCAATTTAAGTGAGGCTTTTCTTTTTCAATATATCATCTGCAAAGCCCAGTAGTTTTTATAAGGTGCAGGAGAGTAGCCAAGAAAACAAAAAACAATATGTGTACATATAAAAGTATATATATGTGTGTATGTGTGTGTATGCATGTACATATAAATTGCAGGGGAAAAATGCTTAGAAAGTGTATGCATCAAAAATGGCAAGCAAAGTGAATGTGGTGAAAAGTTTGCAGTTTTACTGCATGCTGAAGATAGTAGTTTGTATTTAAACAGGACAAAACTCTTCACTGCCTTGGAAAAAGGACTTTCTTTTGTGTAGGTCTGAAGTTTTAATGCTGTTCTTTTTAGCCACATTTGTCAAGAGCCCGAGGACTTATCGAAGTCCCTGTGGCCCAGACAGGCTTCTCCCATAACCTGCCCAGAGTTGAGGAGCCCCATTTCAGCTTCAGTGCCTGCTGGTCTTCACCTTCAGCACAGCCATGGGTCCTCTTGTCCTGAACTCTGACCCATGTTTTGACTCCCTGCCTTGACTTTGGCCCTGTGTCATCACCGTGAACTTGCCCGGTGATCTGGACTTTTGCTTGAAGCTGGTTGCCCCCTAGCCTGCCTTGCTGCCCAGCTGGGGCAGTGGGACAAGTCCTGGCTGGAGAAGACCTCTCCTGTGGGCCCTGTGGAGCCCCCACCACTCCCAGCCCCAGTGGTCCCTCACCTGCTGCATGCCAGCACAGGGGCTCCTCCAGGTAAAACAATCTGAAGGACTGGAACTCTGAAACATGCAGTTCACTTCTTACCACTTCCTTCCTTATTATCAGGCCCTGATGTTGGTGAGGAAGCAGCCACCATCCATATGCGGAATGATGCTGTGATACTCCCCCTTTCCTCATTAAACCGACCTGCTTTTCTTTCCAGTGTTTCCTGTGGAGTTTTGCACCAACAATATGACACACTAACAATTTACAAATTAGTGTCATTTGCTGTTTATGTGGAGCATGTTGATTGTATTGTTCCGTTGTAATTACCATTACAACTGATTTCTACTTTTCCAAGTGGAATGAGGTTCACAACACAATACCAAAAATTGCATGGCATTCCCAGATGTGGGTGTTGTTGTACTCCTCAGGATAATGTGGCTGTTGGCTGAAGAAAGCTTACAGACTTTATTTCTTTGAATTAAGAATTAAAAAATAATTAAAAAAAAAAAAAAAAGAATTTCCTGACAATAGCAGCATTTTAGTACTATTTCTAGATTTTCAGTAAGGTATTTTGATTCAAAAGTTATATCTAGTTTTATTTCACAAGCTTTCTTTCATGCTATTTACCGATCGAATAGATAAAGTAACATTCCTTCAGCTATACTGAAAATGAAAGGGAGTTTTTCTCTTGCTGAAGTGAAACAGGCTATAGCTCATCCAAAACTATTTGATTTTCTTATTAATGTCAGCAACCTCTTTCTATCCCAACAGGTGTCGTGCGCCAGGTACGGCCCATTGTTGGACCTTTCCATGCCATCCTGAAACTGGAGATGAACTACGTCATGGGCGGGGTGGTATCTCATCGTAATATTGTCAATGTTCACATCTTTGTCTCTGAGTACTGGTTCTGAGAGAGCTTTTAAAATCCCAGACAAGGAAGCTGCTCCAACTTAAGTCATTACCACAAACTATTACATCATATACTTGTTTGTAAAACCCAATAGTGGTTCTTTTTTGTTTTGTTTTTAAATATTTGTTTTATGGTTTAAGACAAATAACAAGCTATTATGTTGATTAAACATAGGGTGGGGCAAATTAAGTGAGCTGATTTAGTTGTGTGTATAAATAAGTAGTGTGTAAAAGTGTTCAACTGCCTAGAGAAATTTAAAACTTTTCTAAATGTTTAGGCAGATCTTAACTATTGCTCCTTGGCCTGATAAACAAAGCAACTAAGGATGTGGAACAAAATACATGTCAGAATTCACTGGGATGAATATATGGTATCTTTGGATGGAAGAAGTTTGGTAAGGGCTAGTTATTTCACCACAATGTGAGTTACCTTAAAGGAGTTAGATTGTTAGAAGTGCTGAATATTCACTTTTAGGCTCCAGTAAGATAACTCTGAACAAGCACCCATAATTACTAATCATTTCTGAAAAGTTTAGCCTTGATATTTAAAAAGAGCCATCCAGCTATGGCTACAAGAGGAAGTACAAAAAAATAGAAATAGGAGGAGACTAACAACCTGTTGCACATATTAAAAAATTACTCATTTTTTGTACTTGTTATTTGTTTGTAAAATTATGTTTGATTCTAATTAAACAAATACCTCTCTCTGAAATTAGCCTGTTACTGAAACTCAAACCTGTATCTCCTGTCTATTGTAGAGGAAAGCTTGACACCTTTTTAAAATTGGTAATAAGATTAGCATGTTAAGCTATACACTTCCTATGCACCAAACCAAGGCACATTTAATAAGATAATGAAACTCTCACAAATAAATGATTTTTTTTAATGTATTTTCTGAGCATCAAAGTAATGCATCTTTTTAGTATAGAACAGAAAATAAATAGCTTTATGTTTCTGTTTTCTGTGTTTGTTAAGATACAAGAAAATAAAGCCAGATCAGAAGTATGCTATTCTGTTTAACAGAAGAAAAAAAAAAAGTATAATATACAAAAATATATATCCTATAAGCAAATGAATTATATGTGTATATTACACATTCCCCACTCAAAGTAGTTTGCTAGTTTGGTCATTAGTGGCACTAGGCATTTGCTTCTTTCCTTTATACAAAAGCCTCTGAAGCTAAAGGGAATCTTTCCATTGGTCTGAGTGATATTTGAGTTAGACTAAAGAAGACCATCCACTCTGATCCATTGCAAATAAAAGGACATAGCAACTTTACTGTATACATACAGACTTCTTCATGCAGTTCTCTGTGGCAGGGAAAATTCCTTGCCTTCAGCTTTCTTGTTCTATAAAATAAGATTTTATGGTAACACATTCTCATAAATAAATGTTGACTAAAAAATACCCTCTCTACAGTATTTGGTTCTCCACTTACCAAGCATTCCGAACCCATACATAGCCTGGTTTTCAGAACATCAGCTTAAAATGTTTCAAGTGTTTTTCAGTGTATGACTCTACAGTGCATATGATTTCACTAAATATTTACCATATTTGAGTAGAAAAATGCTGTGAAGCCAATACTTTGTAGCAGGTGACTTTCATCATTCAACATGGAAATTTTGGAAATCTCCAAATTATAAGAGGTACTGTTGACTTCAGGGATTAATAGCCTAGGTAATTCTGATTTAGACCGGAAATAAAAAACAATATTTTATTAAATTATGCTAACAGACTACAAGAAAAGGAGGATGGAAGATTCCCATTAAATTTTCAAGTTCTTTTTCTTGCCAGTAGAGGAAAACTAAGTAGCTCTAGTACCAAAAATATAAAAACTCTTTCCATCTGATTTTCTAGACTGTAATTTGTGATCCTTTATTTCCCCTGTAAGTGGTATTTAGTTGCAGTGGAAAGAACTTTGGGACAGCAGAAATCTAATTTTAGGGTCAATCTGATGAACAAAATAGTTTACTTTTTTTTTCTTCTTCTTTTTTTCTGTAAAGGAGAAACCACACACCACCCAACACGTACACCTCTTCCCTTCTGTCTGCATTTTTGAGTAAAAATAGGATAGAAAAATGATTACCGCTACCTCCTGGAAATTTTTTTTTCTGCATTGTTCCAAATAACATTTGAGAATTGATTTTTAAATAGTCCTGCTGTCTTATGAGAACTTTCATCCAGCAGATGATCCTATGTTTTGTGTATAATCAAAAATGGAGCGAGTGCTTAGTGCCATGGTCACTCTGACATGTCCTAACTTTTAACAGAGCAGCATAGAAAAACAGGATAGAAAAATTAAATAACATTAGGTTAAATATTTGTCTCATCTAAATCTGTCAATACAGGTTTAGAAAAACAAACAAACAAACAAAAAAACAACAAACCTTAATGTGTTGGAAATGAGACAAAATAAAACTATTTGTTTTGAAAACTAGTTTTCATTGGCAAACCACGAAAACTGTTTCAGTGGGAGAACATTCTTAGAAATGATCACAGATCCACACACATTGAGGGCTTTTCTTATGCTCTTCTCTGTTTGGACTGATTAGATACAAACTGAAAACATTTTACTTGTGGGGACTCAGAGAATCACATGTAAATGAGCTTTTAGCAGAAAACAACAAGAATAAGTATACACTGCCAATTGTTCATTAGTCTGCTTTTTAATGGTCATCCGCTCAGCTATACACTGAATTATCTCATGTGCCTTGGAAAAACAAGCACACACCACTAAAAGAATGAGTCTTGTTAATAATAACAAACAGTTACAGATACTACATACAATCAAATTGCCTGATTAACTGTCTTATTTGATGCAATATGAATATGGAGAGACAAAAGCGTTTAAAAATTCACAGGTGTTAACCAGATTCCCAACAGGAGCACAGCGGGTCTTAGGTTGCTCTTCCCAGAGCTAGGAATCCTGCATAAATGGGAAGGCTTTTTAGGCTGGTACAGGGGCTGCTTCTGGGAAAAGTGTTATGGCAGAAAAAAATTGTCTCAGAGTTATTTCTAGTGGGATTAGGATGATTTGCCTGAGAAGGCATTCGGTGTACATAGATGGTCCTGAAAGCAGGGCCATAGCCTTTGTCTTATTTAAATAGTTAAAATGATGAGTAACAAAATGGGAATATTTGAGGTCAATTTGCTTATATAGGCTAGTCTACTTTTTACTTCTTCTGTTTAAAAATCACTTTCTGATAGATCTGTAATTTATTAGCAGATAGGGAAGGCAAAATATCATAGCATACGTAATCCTAGCATATTTATTCCCTTTACAAAGGATATGAAAGCCAAGGACACTAGCAATGAAGAACAAACATGTTTCATAATAATGCTTGAATCAGCACATTCCATGTACTAATAGCTGGTGTAGTGATGACAAAAGCTATTTCACGATTTGGATAGAAATCCTGTGTTTCATTTCAGGTTAACTTTCCTAACTTCAATGTATGTTAACTCTTGGAAGCCATTGGTGACTGCAACACTGCAGCATGGTAAATAGCTTGACATAACTGTGAATAGTTATGCATTACTTTGAGCTAGTGCAGCATCGATGTGTTCCTGTCTCAGCCACAAAACCATACTACACCTGTTTTTGGCCCATGAAAAATATTACAGCATCCATTTTGCCTATTCTGCTCAGGACTGCTTCATGAACTGAACATATGCAATGAATCAGTGCTCCAAACATGACCTATGTGAAATCCCCCGTTAGAAGGCTTGCCTTGTGCAATGCAGGGTGGAGTGAAAAACATGGCACAAGATGAATTTTTGTTAGACTGAGTCATATCAGCATCACCAGCATGTGGCAGACTGTGGCACTTCTTAGGGAAGCAGGTTCAGTGCAGTTGTGTTCTCACATCCATGCTGGTATAAAAGAATTAAAATAGAATTGTTTCCAGATTTAATAGAGTGAATCTGTAATAATCTGTAGCAGGTGTATGTGGATAACAGTCAATACAAAAGTATTGACTATCAAGCCAGCTAAAAAAAAACAAACACACTGAAAAGTGAATTCAGTTAATACATAATTCTGAAGAGTGGCACAAAACCACCAGTTCTGCAGTGGCTACCTTAAATCAGCTGGTATGTAGGTTCACCTCTGAATACAGCTCCTTCCAGAAGTGAGCATCAGATGTTTAAATACAATTTGTTTCACTGAGCATGAGTGACTGGCTAATAGCACTACAAGGCTCTTGAGAAAGAAAAACATTTTAGGTTACTTCCATGTGAAGTTGAATGCTAAATGTCCTGTGGGGGTGTCCCTGGCATTTGTCCTGATGGGTTTCACATGGCATGCATGTATTTCTATGGCACAGAATCAAAGAATCATCTAGGTTGGAAGAGACCTCCAAGATCATTGAGTCCAACCTCTGACCTAACACTAACAAGTCCCCCACTAAACAAGTCCTTCCCTGGGCAGCCCGTTCCAATGCCTAACAATCCTCTCATTAAAGAAGTTCTTCCTAACATCCAACCTAAAACTCCCCTGGCGCAACTGAAGCCCATTCCCCCTTGTCCTGTCACCAGGCATATGGGAGAATAGACCAACCCCCACCTCGCTACAGCCTCCTTTAAGGTACCTGTAGAGAGCGATAAGGTTGCCCCCAAGCCTCCTCTTCTCCAGGCTGAACAAGCCCAGCTCACTCAGCCGCTCCTCATAAGACTTGTTCTCCAGGCCCCTCACCAGCTTGGTCGCCCTTCTCTGGACTCACTCAAGCACCTCCATGTCCTTCTTGTAGCGAGGGGCCCAAAACTGAACACAGTACTCAAGGTGCGGCCTCACCAGAGCCAAGTACAGGGGGACAATCACTTCCCTAGACCTGCTGGCCACACTGCTTCTTATACAAGTCAGGATGCAGTTGGCATTCTTGGCCGCCTGAGCACACTGCTGGCTCATATCCAGCCATCAACCAATACTTCCAGGTCCTCCTCTGACAGGCAGCTTTCCAACCACTCCTCTCCCAGCCTGTAGTTCTGCTTGGAGTTATTGTGCCCCAGGTGCATTGGAGAGTCTATGTGCAAACTGCTGTAAAATGCCTAATTGCCTCATTTCCTGGGTAAGCGGAGCCATGCTCCTTGGGACCTGACCCCATGTGCACACCAGGTAGGGGTACCCCCAGACTTTGGCTGTCATGGGAGTGAGATTTTTGCCACATGCAGATAAATGAAGGTCTGGTTTCCAGCTCGCTCCCAGTCCAACCTCAGTGACCACTGTGAACATGCACCAGTTCTGGTGGCCAGCGGCACCCGGCAGTGCAGGTGCATCCTGCCCAGCTCCCTGTAGACCCTGGAACCCCATTGCAGCCATGTTCTCCAGGGGCTGCCTCTATGGGAAGACACCGTCCACAATCCACCATCCACAGCAGCTTATGTACTGGGGCTCAGAGTCCTTGCAGTACATTTTAGAGGAGCACAAATTCCTCCACATCCTCCCTGGTAGTAATTCCTGTTCCATCATGTCACTGTGACTTATTTCAGGGAGCTTTGTGTAAGATTCCTGACTTCTCTACAGAAATGGGCAAAGGACTGAGGGATCTCAGCTTGCTTGAAGTGTCTTGTCCCTTCCCTTCCCTTCCCTTCCCTTCCCTTCCCTTCCCTTCCCTTCCCTTCCCTTCCCTTCCCTTCCCTTCCCTTCCCTTCCCTTCCCTTCCCTTCCCTTCCCTTCCCTTCCCTTCCCTTCCCTTCCCTTCCCTTCCCTTCCCTTCCCTTCCCCTTCCCCTTCCCCTTCCCCTTCCCTTCCCCTTCCCCTTCCCCTTCCCCTTCCCCTTCCCCTTCCCCTTCCCCTTCCCCTTCCCCTTCCCCTTCCCTTCCCCTTCCCCTTCCCCTTCCCCTTCCCCTTCCCCTTCCCCTTCCCCTTCCCCTTCCCCTTCCCCTTCCCCTTCCCCTTCCCCTTCCCCTTCCCCTTCCCCTTCCCCTTCCCCTTCCCCTTTACTTTCTTTTTAAATCAAAGTCTGCATATAAAAGCATTCTGAATTTTTCTCTGCTGTGGGTATACCCATCGTCTTGACACTATGTCTTCCTATTTGAAAGGTGTTTTCAATAGAAAGGTTCAAGTTTGAATCCATTGGTTGTTAATCTGCTTTTGTTTTTCAGTACATTTAACACACAGTCAGAACTAATTAAATATATTCCTTTTGATTTGTGGAACAGGCCATTCTTTCTAAAAAACAAACAAATAAATAAACAGCAACAACAAGTTCTTTCCCTCTGGTGGGATTTTTGCTGGCTCTTTAAAAGAAGTCAGATGAGGTCTCCTAGGGCTGACTGCAAGCTCATTCCAAGGGCTTGCAGTCAGTCACCCTTGAAAATAGCACTTGATTGTTCTGTCTTGGCTGAGCCTGAAGTGAGCACAGTTTTGATAAAAATGCCAGAGCCACTTCTGGTTGGCCAGTGTGC